TGTATTTTTTCTGTTTCTGTTATATTATTTTCTTCAATATTGTTCTCAGTATCAAGTGTACTGTCACACTCACTACTATCATCCATTAAGTCTTCTTCTTCATTATCTATCTCTAAACGTGGTATGTTTACATCTAATACCATCAATCTATTACAAACAGAAATAATTCATCATAAAGTGTTTTTATTCTAAATTAATAAAATTTAAATATAAATTTAAATAATAATTTACCTATTAATAATTAGAGATAGAATATCAGATCGTAATTGTGGTGCATATTCTATTATTTGAATTAATGCATATACATAAACTTCATGTGTATGAGTTTCATGAACAATATATGGGAATCTTGCTCTAAGGGATTGTAGTAGAACTTTACTAGACCTAAAACAAATTTCATATAAATAATTATTATTTTAAGTTTTATTTATTTTTCATATACTATATATGAAACATATTATTCTATATATTATTACATATATAATTTTTGTCAACAAATCCTTACATTGGTACAACTTCTAAAATTTTTTGAAGAATATCATGTATATGATTCAACTTTTGAATGTCTTCTTCTCTGCATTCTCCATTTTTCCATTCAATATTATCATTTTCATCTACATAAGATAAAATTTTCAATTAAAAATATTTATTAAGATTATTTGTATAATTATATTTATTTTATTATAATTATAATTATTTTAAAATATACCTGGTTTAAATTGTTCAACTAAATTGTCTATTACATTTTTTGCATAATGAATTTGCATACAAATTAAATCTTCAATAAATGCTTTATAAGCAGATGTCATATCTGAAGAACGATTTGTCCATTTTATTTGTAAAAGTGTTTCTACAAATACTTTATGAATAGGACTAAGTAATGATATACATTGTCTTACATTTGATAAAAATTCTATTAAATCTGTATCCTAAAATATAAAAAATAATAGAAACAAATCAAAAATACCAAAATATTTTAAACTAAATAAAATTAATATATACTAATTAGTATATAGTATAATAATAGCTTTCTATTTTAATAACAATTACAATAATATATACCTTTATATTTGAATCTCGTAAAGTACATATTAAATCTTCGTAATCTTTTGTTCCATTACCAGTTTCAAAATTATAGATAATACTTTTAAGATTTTTTGGAAGTTTGAAATATACTCTATTAGATTGTCTTATAAGTTGTGATCTTATTCCAGGAGTTTTTAAAATTGATGAAACACTGCTAACTCTTGAAGATACAACTGACATCTGTTAAAAAATAATATTATGTATCTATTATTTGAAATAATTTTTTATAAAACTTTATTTTAATATAATAAAATTATGCATATTTGTAGTTACTATTAAAATAATTAAAATACATCTTATAATACATCTAATATTTATTAATACTGTCAAGCACACGTGTGCAAAAAAGATAAATAAGAAGGTTATGATATAAAATAATAAATATCTAAGTAACTACTTACTTTTAAAATTATATTTATAACTTTTTAATACGATAATATTTTTAATAATTTCAACTTATATATCTGTTTACATTTTGAATTTATATTACTGATTAAATAGCTCTTAATATTTCTACATATACTTTCTTACATGTGGCCGGATAACCGCTACCGAATATATATAGTTTCATAATGATGTAGGTTCTACATTATCGATTTATACTATAGATAAATCGATAAATTTAAAATTTCTGAAATATTTTAACTTTTAATATTGTTAAAAATATAATAAAAAATAATAATAAAAAAACATTTCAAGTAAAATATAAAATTATCTTTAAATGAGAATAAAAATTTAAAAATTTATTTCAAAATTACATATCACAAAATTTTTGAAATTCTTGAAATATAAATATAAATATTATGAAATTCTTTCTGAAATCCATATTTTTAAATTGAAAAAAATTTTAATATTGTATATTTACTTATATATATCACAAATACAAAATAAATTATGTAGAATATAAAATTCTTGTAACGGAAAAATTACAAAAAAAAAAAAAAAATAATATAAAAAATTTAAAAAATTTTAGATTATTCGTATATTACTTGTATACAGTTTTGTACTTTGCTAATTCATTAGGTTGTCAATTAAAAATTCTATACTATAATTAAATATAATAACATTATAAACAAGAAAAATTTTACATTTTGAAGTTGGTATTATTTTAAAAAGTTTTTTTATTTTTATATATATTATATTATAATTAATAAAATATACATTAATAATAATTAGTAAAATATATATTATATATGTTATATAGTTTTATAAAAACTAACTTTTTTATATAATATTTAGTTTTATAAAAAAAAAAATTGTTACGACTCTGACATATTTATTTAATATGATTTGAATTTTGTAAAAATGTTTTTAGTTTTCATTTTTTTTTATTACTTATATGAAGTTAAAAATAAATATAACATACAATTAAATATATATTTATATTATATATTATAAATATGTATTATTTATGTAATGACATTTAAATCAAAGTAATATTTCAGAAAATTTTCCAAATAAAATTATATTGATAAAATATTAAATAGTTTTCAAAAATTTAACAATTCTCAAATTTTACAGAATATTAATTTTATATATTGTAATAAAAATATATATATAATGCATTTATACATAAAGTTTCTTCCATTGCATTATTATCAAACACATTTAGCCAAATCATTTTGTGTAGTATTGTTCCACTAATTTATTAACAATTTGAATATAAAAAATAATACAAATTTTTTTATTTGCAAACATATTAAATTGAATTAAATTGAATCTTGCTGTAACAATTTTGGTGACAGATTATATTAATTTAATTTGAACATTATGCTATATTTGCTATATTTGCTATATTGCTATATTTTGCTTTATTCTTATATTTTTTTTACTATTATTGTTTTTACTAAGTATATATTATATGTATAATATATTAATATAATATATAGTATAATGTAATATAGTATATATAATATAGTATATATGTAATATAATATATATATATATATATATATATAATGTAATATAGTATAATATAATATATAGTATAATGTAATATATAGTATAATATAATATATAGTATAATGTAATATATAGTATAATATAATATATAGTATAATATAATATATTGTGTGTGTATATATATATATATGTTCAATTTCTTTTTTATTTTAATTTTGTCTTATTTAATTAATTTTTATGTTAATGTCTTTTTTTTAACTCAATCTTTAAAATTTTTTTATTAAATTTTTAATAATTAATTTTTGTTATATTTTTTATATATTTATTTTATATATTATTATTTTATATATTTATATATTATATTTTTATATATAGAATATTAAAAAAGTTGAATAATAAAAATACACAATTTATGCAATAATTTTCGCGTAAATAGATGAACTTTGCTACACTAACCAATTAAAAAGCCACTAAATGAATCACCGTTTATAATATTACTCATTGAAAATTAAGATAACAGAACATATTACATCGACAAAAATAAATATCTATTAGATTAGATTATTAAAAGCATTTTTAATTATTTATTATATATTATTTGTGAACTTTTTTGTTGTTTTATATTGATTGTTTATTTAAATATTACTATTTATGTTTTAAATCTTTCAATCAGGAATTGAATTATGCTTTTTATTTTATTTTTATATTTTTATATAATTTAAATTTTATACATTTATTTTACGACTTCCTATTTTATTGTTGAACAACCAAATACACTGAAAGTGAATGGCAAATCATAAGAATTTTCTTTCCTACAATAATTGATATGTACAATCGTATTATATTTTATTTAATATGTATTATTTAATATTTTATTAGAAATATGAAAGATAAGAAAGAATTTTTATCCAATTTTTATATCTAATTTTTTTTTTGTATAAGTGTTCAATATGAATCAACAATTTTGGATTTCTTTGTTCTTTTATTTTTCATTGCATTTATATATTCATTTTTAAATTATTAACCCAATACCATGAGAAATATAATTCTTTGAAAAAAAGTTTTTAATCAAATATCAATATTACAATATATGAAATTGTAATTTTTCTGATATAAAATACTATTATTATATTATAAATATCGAATCATTTTTATCAAATGTATAGAAATATTGAATTGGTTTTTAATATGAGATAAATACAAAATAAATACAAAAAAAATATAATTCTTTTTTATTATGAAAATGAATATAGTTCTT